TAGTTGGAGATAACCGCGGCAGAAAACTCTGCTTACGGTAATTTCCCAGCTGGTCTTTCATACCCCTTCATTTTGCCCAGCTGATTCCCCGGGGGTTAGGCATAGTTTGACTCACGTTCCACCACACTTGGCCTGCTGTCCAAACCCAGTTTTTCGAGGGACAAGGAAAGAAATCCATACTGCTCTCAGAGGATTCTTCCAGCACAACAGTTCAGCACACTATAAATGGCATGTGGTCGACAGCCAATTCTCCCATCTATCCAACTTTCTCTCGATGCCGAGTTCAGGCCTTTTCATGCGAGAACTGTCTACACGTGCGATATAAATTATATAAGAGCGTATGTTCAGACTCCGAACCCACCAAGTCTACATCTACTTATTGGGAGGCCCTATAGGGCGCAGATCCAGAAGGCGCGCTGTCTGTGGAAATTCACCATCACATACACACACCATTCCCGAAGAAGCCGAATAGTTGCCTGACATGGAGACGATCAACCGGCAGCGCAGCGACGAAGAGCTACCCTACGTATATGAGACCGTGGCCGTTGACTGCTACATGTCCCCTTGTTTTGATGATCCCGAATTTCTGATCTGGAATGGGCCCAGCATCCTATCTCCGCTTACGCACCCCGAGGATATCTTTCGTTATGCCTCTGCCATGCTGTCCTACCCCGTCGATTGGTTAGAAATGCACCTTACGGTCGTCCATAAGTACACGTTTGAATCGGTCGCCATCTCGCCATTCTTCCTTCCGCGCGTGGAGTGCACCCTCGGCAACCTCAGACGGTTTCACAATCAGAGCTGGGAAGTTTTCCGTCCGTACATATGGACCATCGATCACGCAGATTATCAATTTCAAATGTTCGTCTGGCCAAGAGGCGAGCGGGAGCCGAATACCATAGGAAGATTAGGGGTGTTATCAGGGTCCAACACTATCGATCCTGAAAGAATCCTGGATCCAGAGCGTTTTATTGAAAATATCTCTTGCGGCTTCTAGTGTGAAGAGCATACTGAGTTCATCTGTACCATGCGATAAAAGATTGGAGGCCGGGATTTAAATAGCCTGTATTGTTTTATGGGCTCATTGTTTTCTTGCTAAATGGTATCTATTTGTTTCGGTTCCATGGATGAAGTCAACCCGTCTCTTGACCATCCGACAACTCGGGTCAGGGAATCAAGCCCCAGATTTTCTGCGTCGCGGGCAGGCAAGATAGCCCGACTGCACATAGTTTGGCCAGTCCCTGGTTGGTCATCGTTGAGTGCCACAAGCGTCGGCGAGGTTACAGTCAGTCCCTGGTCTGCCCATGCCCAGAACCATAGCCTCAATGTAACCTTCAACTTCGGGCTTTGCATTATGTGGACTGTTTCGCAAAGGGCTAGCGCGTGGTGTCACCGTGCTTTAAGTCAATAAGACCGCCAACCTTTCTAAAAGCATCATGTGCGTCCTAGGCAGGGGGCTCTTGTTTTCGGGGCACATACAGGGAAATTTTCACAGAAATCTCGATTCTCCTAGCGTCACTCATATCCTCGGCGGACAATTAAAACCACGTTCATGACTGAACGAGCTTCGAAAGTTACTGGTATTGGTAGGAAAGATGCCGCATTCAGGTATCATTCCAGATGTCTCACACCCCACGGAATCGTCTCCGCCCGACGACATGAGACCGAACTTGCAGGCTGTGTCGGACGAGAGTATGTTAACCGAGAAAAACGATGACAGCGAGAGATATTGGACTTAGGACGTCGACAGTGTGGCCACAATCGAGCGTCATGAGCATCCCAGTGACGAGGCTGGTAAAAGGGCTCACACGTCGCTGCCTTGCGAGCAAGTCCCGTCCTTTGATATCCCAAACCCGGTCAGCATTCATCCTCGAACTTTTCTGATCTGTATTCTCAAGTCTCCAAACTCGAGTCCGGTGAACTTATCTCCGTGGCTGCTACCAAGCGACCTTCTATGTGACTTCGAGCTGACGGGGAGCCATAGAAAGGTGGAAGAACAAGTAAAGCATCAAGACCAGGAAAATCACCGCCTGCACAAAAGAGTGAGCGGCATCTGTGAGAGTGTCCCGACCTCTCTCATCTCACCAAATCTCGTCGTTCAATTCGGTACAAGGCTCTGGAAGCGGAATGAACGTCGCCGGGCGAAGGAGAAGGGAACGAAACGTTTCTCAGGCCAAGCCGGGAGTGGACGAACGGGGCAGGGTCTGAGTTACATCGCCTAAGACTAGTGTTCTTTACCAAGCTTATCCAGTAGTGACCAATGTCTGTTCGACTCTGAGAGTCTATGAATAACTGCATCCGACAGATAATGTTGGTACCGCCTGCTGCAGGGTAACCTGGTCTGCCGATCCCAAGATAAAGGAATACGTTGTCTAAACTAAATCACACCCTCTAGCTGCATCTGGTTCAGTGACACGGGGCTCCATCATGTCCGCAAGCCAAAGACGCAGAATGTGACGCCAAGATGCGTGTCGCGCCTTCTCCTGCTAGTAACAATCCTCGGCCTTTGAACCATCGAAGCCACAATCTTGAGTTTAGCTTTATTTTGTCTTAGTTGACAGGCATATTCTGATGCAATGCGGGAGCGGCGCTGCCTCGTGAGGCGAAAAATTGTTGCGAAAGGGCCATGTAGCCATGGTGGCAATGTGGTGGAGACAATTAAATTGGAATTTGTCACCCATAATGAAGGCCTTCATATCAATACAAGAAAGGCGGAGTACTGATGATAGGTAACGATACAGGGGTTTATGACCTTTGGCCGTAAAATTAAAAGTTTGCAATGTGTGGATCTGACATTGCGCGGGATCCTCAATGGAGGACCTGCCGAAAATGTCCTTATTCTCAGGGCATCTCCCCTTTATGCTTTGCGACAGTCACATTAGACCGCTTACACATTTCACTGGGCCATCGCCTTTTCGCTGGTCAGCACGCGTTTGTTACAACTCGGGAAAGCACACCGAACTGGGTGTGGGGTGGGGTCAAAAGAAAATGGACCGGATGTTCGACTTCTTAGATTGTATGTAACGGTCCTGGATGACCTCCCTCGCCGCCCCCATGAGAACCCGTTGGTGCCACCGGCGGGCTGGCACCGGCGGCAAACTCACATGCCTAGCAGAGGGATATGGGTTTGCTCAATCAAAATGGTCATAGCCTTGTACAGTACTGCTAGGCAACCCACGGCGGAAATAGATCCATACCTTCCAATGCGAACACGCTACGACGGGAGTCGCCAAGAATCACTTCCAAAAGCACAAAGCCGATGCTGCCCCTGGCCTGCTGTTACTGTAGCATGAGAGTCCAAGGCACTGATAGAGAGACGGGGCCACATGCGAGTCGGACTGCCGCCCCGCTGTAGGCTGGCGAGCCGTCCTATCCGTAAGAGATGCGACCCTGAAATCCCGAGCAACTCTAAAGGCTGACTATCCCAGTTGGAATATTAGCTAAAGTTTTCCTCCTCGACAGGGGGGAGATTCGGAAGACGCCCGTCTCAGTGGGCACACTATTCCAGAGACCTCTCGACGATTACCGAACGCAATGGAGATCATGTTCGGGCTCAATGACGTGAGAGAAAAGCAAACCTGGTCTAGAAAGAAAGCGATGCCCCCAACCGATCTGTTTGTTTGGCTTCTTTGAATCTGCACAATACCATTTATAATCTAACGGATAACTTACCGTTTCAGATTAAGTTACCTTGCCCGATTATGTCTTCACTTCTTCCACCCCGGTTCGCTATGCAATTGGTCTTGGAAAACAGCCAAATATACTTCTGCGTGAGCCGACTCCGAATTGGATGTCCTTCTAAAGTCGGCATCACACGCATTCCAACACACATGCAAGTGTGTGCTGACTTAGTATTTCGTCTAGAAGCGAAGGCGAAGCCTAATTATAGATATCCAATCAAATCATAGGTCACGGAGGTGACCCTTGTAATCATGAGGGACGATGGGCAACATTGTTGCCCATCGTCCCTCATACTGGCTGGAGGTCGTAGATCCCTGCTGGAAGATATGTTGGCCCGCATTTTTTCCCCTTTCATACGTACTTTGGCACCTAGGAGTGAATCGTGTCAGACTTTACATAAAAGCTCATCTCCAGTCGTCAACTCTCTGTTCCCGCTACTTCATGCAAGGCCCGCATACAATATGGACTCAATAGATTCAATCCTAGATGCGGCTACTATTCTTTCTCGCATATCAGATATCGATCGAGAAAATTTGCTCGCTCATCGAGCCAAGCTTGAGGCTGCGTTTCGCAACTTGAAATCTTTGTTGAAAGCAAGCGATGGTATGTGACGCTAAGCTGGACACCCGATCCTAGAAACTAAATGTCCATTAGAAATCGCAAGCGGCAGAAGCCTCCTGGGCTTCCTGGAGAGAAATGAAGGAACTATCAGAGAATGGTTTAGAAATGCTGGTGAGTCAGACAACAAGAGCGAGGGAGACTGGGTAGATGAAGATCCCCGAATCGTGGATCTGTCCATTGTCGACCAAGAGAGTTCTCTTGACGAGAGGTTTCGGGCCGGTCTAAGTGCAATCAATTTGGCGTCCACGTATATGACATGGGAACAGAATCGGCTCAAAACTGTGAAGCGGAGGAGAAAGACGAGAGTGGATGCGCTGTGTGATAATCTGGGCGCTGGAAACAGATCGACCTTCTACAAGGAATACGTTGATGCGTCCGACAACTTCCGAGACAAGGAGAAGGCGAAGAATTACATCGAGTATGGTGTTAAGTCTCTTGTCTTTGGCAGGATGTTCGTACGCCATATGCAGGTGTATGCTGGCGATATGTCTACGGACGTCCATCTTGGTGTGCTCGGGATACTATTTCTAACGACTTATTTTCGGCGCGTAACTTATCCCAATATCCCGCTGCTTGTTAACGCTATACTCTCGTCTGATTGGGGAAAGCTCGCTGAGGAGAAGACTGAATGGGTGTCTTCTCGACTGAAACAGAACGACGGTAAGCTCCACAGAAAATAGTCCCGACCGTCCGTCCTGACATGTCCCCAGATCGCATCCAACGAGTTCTTGCTCATAGAGGCAGGAAACACGACCTGGAGGAAGAGAATCCTTATACACATCGTAACAAACGTTCGCGGAACGAAGACATTGTTGCGGTTATCTCAAACAATGCTGCGCTACAGTACTCCCTTATCAATCCCCTGGAGGTTGATCCTCTTGGACTGCCCTTTTTCGACGACACTCCGGGCCGCAATTTGAACTCAACATGTTCGGATGAACATCCACAATCGCAGGAGCACATTGTGCAAAATTACGCACAAGTGGACCCTCTTGGACGACCACACTTTGGGACTTCTATACCGCAGAATACCCCTCCATTAGGGCTCCTAAGCAGTCCTCCTGCTATTCCATCTGATCAGCTAGATGCAGAAGTAGCGAGCTTTCTTGCCAACTTGAGAGAAAATGGCGACAGTACAAGCAACGGGACTGGAAACACAGTGGCGTGCATGGTCTAGAATTCCGGTCGTGAATTGTTCCTTTTTTGAAGCGCGGCAATGACGATATCCCAATCTTCCCCAATTAACAACTGTGGTTCTTTGATGCAGTACGCGTTGCCCTGTAAAAGTGCTTCACCAGAGGCGAAGCTTATTGTTCCATTGACTGGGATAAGAAGCGCAAAATCGGTAGGAGTAAGGACTCGAGCATTTTTGACGAAGTGGAAGGCGTTACAGTTCAGAACCTGGGCTATCAGATGCAATGAACTCGAACAACGTCAATATAAACTTACTGTATAACCAGACTTATCTATCTCAGCATTTAAATTCTCGATCTCTTTCACAAGCTCCTTGCCTTCATATTGCCATGCCTCTCCGGGCTTGTGCTCCCCAACGCTCAGCTTCTTCTCCTTGATTAAAACCTTTATTCGTGATATGATCCTGTTAACCTCTTGTTGGTCCAAATCCATCGTGGCGCGTCAATATCAGGCAACGGGGTGATGAGAAAGTAGGGAGTGATGGTAATTACGGAAAAGAGGAAGTGAAAACCTGAACATATGAGGGGTTGCTGAGTGGGGTGTGGGCGCCCGACCAAATGGTATTTGTTTGCACGTGATGTATTTCTATCGGGCTGCCAGGCATTAGGTGGATCACGCTGGCTGTTCACGTGATATTGTTTTGCTGGGCAAAGGGAAGGGGCCTTATGAACTCGCAGTGTAGTTTAGGTCCCCATGGATTCCAATTGTTCGTTTGATCACAATTTCCAACATACAATAAGTTACAATGTGCAGTAACGTCCATACAAACCATTGACCTGGCGCTAAAACAATGAAATGGATACGTGGGAATGATCGGCCATAGTCCAGTAATCGAAGCCCAGAACTGGAAGTCCAGTTCCCTGTTGTTCTACACAGACCAATCCTCTACTGATGTTTCATGATTCACCCGTCTTTTACTTCTAGTTCTAACTTTACCCAATAGAAATGAACGGCCTTCTAAACATCAGGGAGATCGTATGCTTCGAAGGACTCGCACGCCCGACATCAGTTTCGTGATGGTACTATTGGAATTGGGCGATTTCCAGTATCTCTCCAGCTCCGTGCAGCCGCCTCTGATTGTTTCAAATTTATGCAAGTTATGGGCGAAGCGGCAGAGGCCGGGTGGATTTCTTGCATGCAACATAGTCCGCTCAAGGTTGAACGGGAACATTGCCCCTGGCCAAGATGATCATCACATAGTCTATGGTTTCTTTTTTCAGTCGTCTATAATCTTTGCCACGGGAATCTGTAAAAGGTCCGTATCTAGCCAAATAGCTCGGTACGACCTACAACCAAGAAGACCTGGATTCGTCCTGCTTTCCGCGAATTTTGTCAACATAATGTACTTCCTCATGTACTGCAAGCCCCCTGGCTTATTAAAACAAAATTCTACAAGCCCTCCAAGCCCTCCACGCCCTCCGAGAACCCTTCACCAAGGGATTGATCGATCCGACGGCAAAATCTACGTTATCGAGGCAGGGACTGATTTCGGAATTTGGGATATCACAGAGTATTATTCATTATCTAAGCTCCCTTTGGGATTTGTGTTCCGCGCTCGCTTTCGAGACGATCCTAAGCCTATACGACTCGTTTTTTGCCCGTTGCGAATCGACGCTACAGGCCTTCATCAAGCCGATCGAGAACGCCTTCAAGCGTGTGTTGATAGTATGAAACCATTGGTACCAAAAGAAGCCTGGGAGAGACTGAGTGTGGACCCCGAATATGGTCTTATTGTCTTTGGTGAAGAGGGTACGCCTAGCAAGATTGGATAGAAATTTCCGATCTCGTTCTGAGGATGCACTTCGCTACATTGCTCTGTGGGGAGATGCTTCTGTATCCTAGCAATGTCTTTATAAAATCGAAGAAGCCCTTTGACTTGAATCACTACGAAGGATTTATCAAACAGAATACCAATATCCTGAGGCTGGAGAATATGCCTGAACCATGGGTTTCATTCGGGATTATAGTCCTCCTCATATGGGGTGGCGCCTTTCTTCTATGTAGAACACTCAATTATATTTACTTTCGAAGGAGCCACGCGCACAGAGAATGACGACACCAGGTATGTAATGAATCGCTACTGATTGGAAAGCTACTAATTGCTCACACGTTTGACCGTTCAGACTCAAAACGCCATGCACGCGTTGCGAAAAAAAATGCATTTCCAAATAAGGCCCGAGATCAAAAATAGGTAAACACCAGACCTCCCGAACAGCATATCTTGGTCTAACTTCAGGACTGGGTTAGCCGACTTCCAGATGTCCAGCAGGTGCTGCTCGTGTTGGAGCTATGTCGGTTGGAGCAAACCTGTTCCCTAGATCAGCTAGGCTTAGGAGATGGAAATCATGCATGTAGTTAGTCTTGGTTCATCCTGCGGAACAGATAATGCAACTGAACCATCAATCAAAGCCCTTAAACCTTCTGACATACAGCCTGCGCAAGGTCGTCAAAGAGGTGTCCGTGCAAACATACGTTGATTATCCGAATCCTGTACGCTAGCCGCGCCGCTGGTGGTGTGGTTAAGGACCAACACAAGTACCTAGCGCACTTCCCTTCTTCCACACCTCAAGGATATTTAAAGGCAGACTGAAGTTAACTTGATAAAGATGTGTTGCATATTCTCTATCTTCCTTTTGGCGAAGTACGATACCATGAGCCTTCTAGCGAGAACGTCGTCAATGTTCCTAGGGCGTCCTGCCATGCGCTCTGCGAGTAAACGCGGGCAAGCAAACTCCGCAAGATCTGGTCCTACAAAGGAGATTTCGGCAGAAGAGCTGGACAAAATTCGTGTAAGAATTCGTGTAAGTGTCCGACCTAGTCTCGGAAGCTGGAGATTGATCAATACAGCTCGAGTCCTGCGGCGCTCCACGTTGGCCCTTATCCACCGCGCCACACTGTGACCTGCTGGACAAAGCACTCGAAAAGATCATAGATGACCAAGTCCACCAGGGTCCTGCCTTGCCAGTGAACCAAAGCGCCAACAGGGATTTACCCGAAACGCCCCCTTCTACCCCTCTTCCTGTGTCCTACGAACTTAGTATAGCCAACGTCTTTGTTCGAGAAGGAGAGGTATTTTATTTGTTGTTACGTCAGGCTACATGCGATATGGTTGGAGTACCCTATGTTGGCACTGATTCATGGTTCGAGGCCTACGCGATTAGGGAACGGGAGATGGAAAAGTCCTCTTTTAAGGCCAAGTTGTTGGAAGAATGGCCGGGGAAGCGTTACTGAGTCTATGGCGGGGCTATTGTATAGACAGTAGTGATTATGGAGGCAAATCTAATGCGGCAGCCTAGGTATCATCTCCACTAGCAAGACGAGAGTCGAGTATTGACTGGCATCCCCTTCTGGTCTCGAATTCGGTTGTGGATGTAGACCAAGTACCTACGGGCATCCCTGGGGCGGGAGTTGATGCAGTTCCCACACGTACAATGCTGGAACCAATGGCGGGGTCGAAGATCTGTTTATCACAGTGCTTCTCACGACCTAAGTCTGCTCGTTATTCCAGGGCGCATCCTATGGCTAGATCCCACGTGTGGGTTACGAGATCTCCAATCCAGATTGACTGATGGAATTGGCGTCCATGCGACATGATAACATGGGTGGATAATCCCCTTTTCATGTATATACTGAAGCCCTTCAGCAGCTTCCAACGCCCACTGAAGTCGGGTATGCGATCCAAGCTTATTCCGTCCGCTTCGCAGCAGAAACCGAAGCAAATCACAGAGAGCTCTCGGGTGTCTAGACACAGCAGGCTGGATTATCTCTTTTCATGTCCTTCGCCTCTGTTCTGTTTTCCCACCGAAAAGTATAATATTACTCCATCCCCCTTTAAAGTACCATCTATACAGACTACTGTTTATTCCCCGTCCATATGGCTTCTCCTTTCAGTTCCGCTGCTGCACTATCCTCCATAATACTCACTCTAATGGAGGCTCTACTTCCTGGGTTTAATTTTCTTTCCTCTTTGACTTCCTTTCCTTTCTATCCGTATTCCGTCTTTCTTTTCCTCCAGTTTTGGAGGCACATAAAGTCAGCCTTACTGCGCCATTATGCGAAAACAATGGAGATACCGAGCTATGACAATCTCTACCGGAGCGCGATACGATGGACCACTCGTCAGCCAACGCTGAGCAAGACGGACCAGTTTGTTGTTTTCACGAAAGCGAGTTTTTCCTCCCCGTGGGATGACGGCGATATAAATAACGATCAATACGACGATGACCCCAACGACATCTTCGACGATGAGCGGTTGTTTGAACATAACCCACGTGAATATTGGTTTAAGAGAAGGTGTCGGGATGCACATGGAGGACTCAAGTCTACTCCTTCACAGGGTCCTATCCATTGGTTTCGCTACAGAGGACACGACGTTGGATTCCAACGACGCGTATCCAAGGAATCTAGTGGTCCATGGTTCGCTGCTCCGGAGACACTGACTTTCTACACACGATGATCGAGGCGTCCTCGATGACATCATGCATGATATCCGGGAAACCCCCGTCAAGAAGAACCCTCGCGATATCACTGTCTACACCGGTCTGAGCCAGCCTCTGTCATGGGTGCCGATGGCGACGAAATCGCCACGATTCCTATCCTCAGTGGCTCTGGATCAGGAGGTAAAAATGGACATAGTGAAAGATGTGACGGAATTCTTTGACCCCCGAACTGAGCCATTTTACAAGGAACGTGGAATTCCCTATCGACGAGGCGTTGCCCTATACGGTCCGCCAGGTACAGGGAAGTCAAGCCTGTGCCATGCCATCGCCAGCATGTTGTGTATGGATATATACACACTCTCTCTGGGCTCCTCTGGACTTAACGACAACACCCTCTCCGCTCTATTCCAAAAATGTCCGGAGCGTTCCATTGTTCTCTTGGAGGATATCGATGCGGCCAGTGTACCGAAACGCGGTGGTGATATCTCTTCTCAGTCAAGCCAGGAGGCGACCGAAGGGGTTGAGAATGCTGAGACACACAATACCGGATCAGAACAAGGAAATATCTCTCTCTCCGGCCTATTGAACGTGATTGATGGCGTGGCTGCGAAAGAAGGTCGCCTTCTTTTCATAACTACCAATCACATTGACCGTCTGGACCCTGCCCTTTGGCGTGCAGGGAGGGTTGACATGAAGGCCTTTATCGGCTATGCGAATGACCTTATGGCTCGAGAGCTTTTTTACAAGCTTTATTTACAGTTTATGGCGGTCCGGCAAGAAAATGGCACCATCCAACCATTATCTGAACCAGTCTCTGATGAATGGGAACCGAACGACCTTGATCGTCTAGCGAATCAATTCGCCAGCAATATTCCTCCGGGGTGGTTCTCGCCCGCCTCTTTGGAAGGCTACCTGCTGCGGCACAAAAATGATCCTGTTTCCGCAGCCTGCAGTGTTAAGGAATGGGTAGATCAGAAAATCAGCTCCTTCAAAATCGGTCACGGACAGGATTTGTCAAGTCTTCGTGTTTCTGGATCACCCTGTCAATTTAGGCTTCACGGCGAGACGTTGTCCATTAGCGTGGGCGCTGTTATCTTTGATGCAGCAAACGGATCTGGTGAGCTTCGTGTTCTGCTTCTGCAACGTGCGTCCCATTGGGAACTACCAGGTGGTACAGTTGGGTCAACAGACAGTACAATCTACGCTGCTCTGAAGCGCAAGATCCTGGAGAAATCTGGGTTAGAGCTTTCACGAATCAACCATGAACTCGAAATCCGGGCTCAGACGCGAAACAAGGAAGAAAAATGTGTTGCTTTTCTATATATCGTTTATGTATCTCAGATAGAAGCCCCGAGGATTCCCGGATGAGCCACCATTGGGAAGGAAATGCGATCAATCGGTACGGATCAATGCGGAGAAACACCAGGGTTTTACGTGGGCAACGGAAGATGAGGTGCGGAATGATGTATATCCGGTGCTCGGAGATTAGAAGGCGACTATTCTGGAAGCGTTTGCTGCCACTCCTAGGAGTTCTTTGTGGCAGTCATGAGCTTATAGATTTTCTGCAGGCATTACTGGAGTGGAATGTTATCCGTTGCCTTGCAACTTTGTGCCTCAGGACCTGAGTGTAGATGTATAGTTCCGTCAGATGATTTCCTCAAGGGCATTGAGCCTTCTTTCTCCTCGCAGACACGGCTACTATATCCCAGATGGGAAACTTGACGTGTTTGGGAGCACCAGGTAGCTCCGCTGCATTGGGTCAGTCGATTCTCCTCCATTCTACTATTTAGCTTATATAGAGAGAGCCTCTACCCCATATGGAACTGTTCCTGGGATATCTCTGCGATCCAGCTCCTTCACAATGGAAAGACTCCCTCAAGAACTACTGTTTCTCATTCTAGAGAGCATCTCCATAAAAGGTTCCGTGAATTTCTTCGGCACTTGTCGTGGTTTTATGAAACTAGGTCTTAGTTTTCTTGAGGTGTTTGCTCTCTATGTTCTGTTACATTCTCTTCTCTGACATTGTTACAGAGATACCTATGCAATACCGAGGAAGCTAGACTAGTCGCAGGTGGAAAGTTGACCGTTATCGGAGCAATCACACGCACACTCAGTCTGGATAAAGCCCTCAAAAGCGGACGCCCATACTCAATCCAACCTATCTGCTCGGAAGTCGCCAACCAAGTCCTGTGTTACGATAATCTTATCTGCTTCTTGCGGCCCGGACGTATCTGCATCTACAATACCCGTGGGGCATGCGAGTACGATATCAATATCCGCGAGATTGAAACCCTGGCAGATCTTACGGACCAGATGGACGAAAACGACGAAAGCCCCTGTTGTGTTATGTGATTTTAACTATCACAAGCTGGTAATGGCATTCGCCCGAACAAGGCGGTTTGTTTGTATCGAACTAAAGGGAGATGGTTCATGGGAAATCATGTACGTTTCACCAGAGAGCATACCCGTTCCGCACGTGTGGAGTACAATATCTTCGACAGGCCTTGTACTATACGTGGTGATGCCAACTGTTTTTCGCTTTGAGTGGTTCAAATTTGAGAGACGAAGAACATTCATGTTCGACCTAGATGGTCGTCAAGGGCCAGACACCATTGTTGATGTGGTCTCTAGCGGATCTAACGTCTACATTCTCCTGCCTATTGATAACTTCTTCGAGACTGGGATGCTCAGGATTGCAGAGAGTCGACTGGTATATGAGCCTAAAGACAAGTATTTGATTTTCCCAAGCATATGTGCAGATGGGAAGGGTGGGATAACAGTACTTACTCCTACCTTCGTCGATAACTCGCTTATCCTTCAACCTAACGACGACGAACCCGGCTTTCCTCAGCTGTCGCGTGCCTACTTTCGACTGTGTGATACTTACGATCTTCATTATATTGGCTTCGCGGATTCTACTGGGCCTAGGGAAATTGGACGAGTCAGAATTGCAATCAAGATAGGGATTGTGTATACAATTGGAGACATGAGCAGGAATTATGGCTCTTTGTTATTTTTTGCCAACTTTGACGCTCGCTGTGAACGTTGGACTGCCCTCAGAGGACAGCAGATAGGAAGGTTCTACTACCATTGAATAAAGCCATTTTGGTCCTGGCATGTTGGCTTCGCTAGAGCTACAGTCTCAATCAGATTCTGTGACATGGAAACTGGGTCTAGCTTTTTCATTATCTCCTTGGTTTTTGCTTTAGTTGTACTTATAACTTGCTTCCCACGTCTACACAATATTTCCTATATCTGCCCTCTTCTAGGTACTATACTTCAGGCCACCATACGGGGTAAATTGACCACATCTTGTATACTTGCCGAGCCTTCTAGAATTGGAACATATTTACGTAAGTAGCAGAGCTTGTTCTTTGACATACGGCTTTTTGATGGTTAAAATTCGGCCCACACATTCCGAGTATAAGGCTGTCCCCATCTGCAGTCCTAGGTACTCTTACCTAATTGCAGCGAGCTGTTACTTGTTGAAGCCGGTACGTACACCATGGTATTTCTCTAGGCTACTAACTAATCTTCAAGGCCAGCCGCGGCCAATTTGGCGATGCATACTATGCCTGAAGGCTCTATCAAGGCGCAGCTTGTTTGCGCATTGGACCATTACCTTGCATGGGTTTCGCAAATCTATCGTTAGTATAGATATTTCGGAAAAGACGCTCCAATCGTTCCACTTTGAGCGAGTCTTTGAAACCATCGAGTTCCGCGTCAATGACCATTGCCCACCACTTAATGGCCTGAAAAAAAATATACCGCAAGCTGTTCAAACAGAGCAACAGGGGCCCTGCCGTTGTGTGTCATGGGTGTAAGTGAATAACCTCATGATTATCTTCCTGTTCTTAGTATATATAGATCGGGAGTAATCATGATGTGGATTATTCTTGCCTTGATCGAAACCAAGCATACGGATGTGATCATTGGGTTCAAGTTGGTCGAGCTCCAGTCCAAAACTCGGGTGTAGTGATATGGAACGAGAGGCCGAACATGATAGGCCGCCAGAGCCTTCGTGGAGTGACACTGATGACGATCAGGGACTCTGTTGAGGGTATATATCATCAGCTGAACATTAGAAAGCTGAAGAGAGTAGCGGGTCTGAGCACGGACAACGAAACTTGAGATGTTGTATCTAGGCCTGAAGTACATAACCAGTTGTTGGCTTTTTGTATGGATAGCAAGAGTGGCGGACGGTGCACCGTTACTAAATAAAACGATTTCGTGTTTGGACATGTTATACTGGCAAGGGTTCTACTAATCGTATATTATAAACCTTAAGAAAACATAGGCTTCGTGTAGGGAGCTTTGGGTCAAGAATATTAAAAAGCAAGAAACAAGAGCGAAGATATGCAAAAATATCAGGAATGCTTGCGGAGCGTTGAACCAAGGTGTGCAGCCGTGTAGAAATGGCCACCAACGGCAAGGCAGTCATCTGGGGTGAACACTGCATGTGGACAACTGGGAGGCATGACGCTGAAAGGAATATCAGCTGGATACTCCGATATACTCCATTCTAATGTACTCACAACAGGTCGCCTGCGCATAGCTCTACCCGTACCCAGCCTCCTTCATATCCTCGAGGACACTGAGAGCCCATAACAGCAACAACCGGACAGCATCGCTAGTCGGTTTGCGAGGAAAGTACCAGATCTTCCGACCTTCGAGGATTAGAATCCACGTTAGCTGACCTCCATTGTCCACATGAGGCGCGGCTAGACCCCCGAAGGTTACCATTACTCCTGAGAACAGTGTCAGAACAGCAAGAGGCTCTGGCTGGCCCCCCGTAGATCTTTGGCCGGTCGCACTCACAGTCGATCGACTTCCCTCCTACTCTTCCGTCGCCCACGGCAGTTGACCATGCCGAGCGGCGAACATTACCCAATCTCACCCGATAATATAAAGATGCCCCACCACTCATGGAGGGTCTTTTCCATTCTACGTTGACACAGTCGAATGGAGAGCGATGATATGATGCCAGATGCTGGCCAGCGTCCTACTGACCCGGACATCCTTGTCGTGGAGGCGTGGGGACAAGGATTCCTGGTGGGCTCCCTTATTGTCATGATTGCCATCACCGCGGCCAACATGAAGAAAGGGGTGGTCTTGCACAAACTCATCGTGGCAGAGGTAAGTTGTGCTGCCTCGTTGCGGCGAATGGGGCACTATCCCCTGCTGATGTGGACGCTTAGCTCGCCCTGGCCCTCGGGCATGGAACGTTTATCTTTCTTCATGCACCTGCGTATGGCTGGTTTCTCTCGGTCACGGCCGTGGGTCTCACAATTTCGCATTCCCTCCACAACGTGATTGCATGGATGAAGATTCGCGGCTTCTTCACCCCTTGGGGTACGCGACTGTATCTG